GGGGATTTCCATGGGTTGAGAGGCCAGGGCCTTTGTTTTAGGGAAGTCATGTTACCAAGGTCACTGCAGAGTTCAGTTCTCCAAGCTGGGGGACAGTTTCTCACACACAAAGAGGTGCATCCCCCACAGCCTGACCCAGAGGGGCAAGAGGCTCCTAGCACATGCACTGGGTGCACCCTGGGCTGGGGCTTGGGTGGAAGGCTTGCCACCACTGTCTTTCATGACCCATCCACCTGAAAGGTGAGCCTTCATCCCCTTCTATAGCGGAGGAAGCTGAGGCGTAGGTTGAGCACTCGCTCGTTCACCCAGGGTTGACCCATCACTTGGTGGGCATGACAAAGACCGAAAGGGCTATATTAAATAATTCGCTGAACTTCAAGTAGCCAACAGTGTGATCTCTACTCACCTGAAGCAACAGAAGAGGAGTCAGGAACAGGAAGAGGATATGAAACATGTGACTGACTGTCCCCATGCACACTTTTCTCCTTGGTTGTGAGACCAGAGGACCTAGATCAGCGGTTCTCAACCTGTGGGTCGCGACTCCTTTGGGAGTTGAACGACCCTTTCACAGGGGTCGCCTAAGACCATTGGAAAACACATATTTCCCATGGTCTTAGGAACCGAGACACCGCTCCTCTATCCATCTCCAGGCGGGTCCACCCACATGCAGATACGCCCACCTATGAGTACCTGGTGTGGACTGGAACCCATGCTACACCATGCTTCCAGACAAAATTTTATTGATTTGTCTTTAGAAATAAATATCTCACAATATATAATGACATCTTGTTTTTGTTATTCATCACGATGCTTGAATGATGTTCCATTTGTAACAATGAAAATACATCCTGCCTTTGGGATAACAGTTGTATGAGCCCCTAATAAAACGTTAAAAAAAAAAAAAAAAAAGAAAATACATCCTGCCTATCAGATATCTACATGACAATTCATCACAGTAGCAAAATGACAGTGATGAAGTAGCAACGAAAATAATTTTCTGTCTGGGGGGTCACCACCACATGAGGAACTGTCTGAAAGGGTCACGGCATGAGGAAGGTGGAGAACCACTGACCTAGATGGTGCCCAGCTACCACGACTGAACATTTTAATCAAAGATTCTACAGAAGAATTCCACCCAGGAAACTGATTGTGGGGATACCTCTTCTTAATATGATGGGAGGATTAAGTTGTCTGTTTTTTCCCCCCACCCCCCAAGTGGTCTGTTATGTGAAGTCTACGCCAGTGTGGTTGTGATGCGATTATGAAACACTGCTCGATGCGGGAGGGAGGAGCGGGGAGGGAGGGGAAAAATGAGGACCTAATGTCGGGGGTTTAAATGGAGAGAAAATGTTTTGAGAAACGATGTACAAA